CCTCCGTAAGCCATGCGTGTTGTAAGAGGCGACTAAAATGCCAGGAGCAAGGGGCTAGTAACCCCTTCTCCTGTATATATTACTAAATGTAAAAGGAGAAACTTTCGTTTTTCCTTTTGGGCCACCCTGCCTTGGTGGGATATGGCCGATGTGTTGAAAGAAAGAAAGAATATATATATATATATATATATATATATATATATATATATATATATATATATATATATATATATATATATGCAAGGAATTCGCAAGAGTAGACGAAATCTACACAAACACTGATCTCTGGCTGAAGGAGACTCGAACCTGCGTACCTTGTTCCAAGGTTCGTAGGTTCGAGTCTCCTTCAGCCAGAGATCAGTATATATATATATATATATATATATATATATATATATATATATATATATATATATATATATATACATACATATATATATTATATGGTGGTAGGATTGCGGGTGTCTTTATTTTCCGTCTCAAACACGCTGGATACTTGGTATATCTTGCTACTTCTACTTACACTTATGTGACACTACACATTCCTGTTGCATGTACGTACAAGCATAAATATACGCACCCATCTGGGTTTTCTTCTATTTTCTTAATAGTTCTTGTTCTTCATTATTTATCTCCATGGAGAAGTGGAAAAGAATTCTTCCTCCAGGAGCAAGGGCCAAGTAACCCCTTCCGTATAAATTACTAAATTTGGAAAGAGAAACTTACGTTTTTCTTTTTAGGTCACCCTGCCTTGGTGGGATACGTCTGGTTCGTTGAAAAAAATATATGTATAACAGAGAGATAATGTATAAAGATATGTTTATACTCATATTATTATTATAAAGTTTTTGTTTGGATTATTTTTCGGAATATATACAAGAGAAGGGGTTACTAGTTCATTGGTCCCGGCATTTTAGTCGACTCTTACAACAAGCATGGCTTACGGAGGAAGAATTCTGTTCCACTTCCACATGATGAAATGAAATAAATAGGCACAAGAACTATTTAGAAAATAGAAGTGTGTATACATATATGTGTACATTTATATGTAGTGTGCCTAAATGTAAGTAGAAGTATCAAGACATACCTGTTTTCTTTCGTGTTTATGAGACAGCAAGAAGACACCACCAACCCTACCATTGTGTAGAACAAAAACAGGTTTCAGTTTCACTCGCATCTGGGAGAACAGTAGTACCTCCCTGGGTGGTTGCTGTCTACCAACGTATTACCACAGTACGGTAGTATCTCCCTGGGTGGTTGCTGTCTACCAACGTATTACCACAGGACGGTAGTACCTCCCTGGGTGGTTGCTGTCTACCAACGTATTACCACAGTACGGTAGTATCTCCCTGGGTGGTTGCTGTCTACCAACGTATTACCACAGGACGGTAGTACCTCCCTGGGTGGTTGCTGTCTACCAACGTATTACCACAGTACGGTAGTATCTCCCTGGGTGGTTGCTGTCTACCAACGTATTACCACAGGACGGTAGTACCTCCCTGGGTGGTTGCTGTCTACCAACGTATTACCACAGGACGGTAGTACCTCCCTGGGTGGTTGCTGTCTACCAGCCTATTTCCACAGGACGGTAGTACCTCCCTGGGTGGTTGCTGTCTACCAACCTATTACCACAGGACGGTAGTACCTCCCTGGGTGGTTTCTGTCTACCAACCCACTACCACAGGACGATAGTACCTCCCTGGGTGGTTGCTGTCTACCAACCCACTACCACAGGACGGTAGTACCTTCCTGGGTGGTTGCTGTCTACCAACCTATTACCACAGGACGGTAGTACCTCCCTGGGTGGTTGCTGTCTACCAACCTATTACCACAGGACGGTAGTACCTCCCTGGGTGGTTGCTGTCTACCAACCCACTACCACAGGACGGTAGTACCTTCCTGGGTGGTTGCTGTCTACCAACCTATTACCACAGGACGGTAGTACCTCCCTGGGTGGTTGCTGTCTACCAACCTATTACCACAGGACGGTAGTACCTTCCTGGGTGGTTGCTGTCTACCAACCTATTACCACAGGACGGTAGTACCTCCCTGGGTGGTTGCTGTCTACCAACCCACTACCACAGGACGGTAGTACCTCCCTGGGTGGTTGCTGTCTACCAACCTACTACCACAGGACGGTAGTACCTCCCTGTGTAGTTGCTGTCTACCAGCCTATTGCCGCAGCACGGTAGTACCTCCCTGTGTGGTTGCTGTCTACTAGCCTACTACAGGACGGTAGTACCTCCCTGGGTGGTTGCTGTCTACCAACGTATTACCACAGGACGGTAGTACCTCCCTGGGTGGTTGCTGTCTACCAGCCTATTACCACAGGACGGTGGTACCTCCCTGGGTGGTTGCTGTCTACCAGCCTATTACCACAGGACGGTAGTACCTCCCTGGGTGGTTGCTGTCTACCAACCTACTACCACAGGACGGTAGTACCTCCCTGGGTGGTTGCTGTCTACCAACCTACTACCACAGGACGGTAGTACCTCCCTGGGTGATTGCTGTCTACCAACCTACTACCACAGGACGGTAATACCTCCCTGGGTGGTTGCTGTCTACCAACCTACTACCACAGGACGGTAATACCTCCCTGGGTGATTGCTGTCTACCAACCTACTACCACAGGACGGTAATACCTCCCTGGGTGGTTGCCGTCTACCAACCTACTACCACAGGACGGTAGAGCCTCCCTGGGTGGTTGCCGTCTACCAACCTACTACCACAGGACGGTAGTACCTCCCTGGGTGGTTGCTGTCTACCAACCTACTACCACAGGACGGTAATACCTCCCTGGGTGGTTGCCGTCTACCAACCTACTACCACAGGACGGTAGAGCCTCCCTGGGTGGTTGCCGTCTACCAACCTACTACCACAGGACGGTAGTACCTCCCTGGGTGGTTGCTGTCTACCAACCTACTACCACAGGACGGTAATACCTCCCTGGGTGGTTGCTGTCTACCAACCTACTACCACAGGACGGTAATACCTCCCTGGGTGATTGCTGTCTACCAACCTACTACCACAGGACGGTAATACCTCCCTGGGTGGTTGCTGTCTACCAACCTACTACCACAGGACGGTAGAGCCTCCCTGGGTGGTTGCTGTCTACCAACCTACTACCACAGGACGGTAGAGCCTCCCTGGGTGGTTGCTGTCTACCAACCTACTACCACAGGACGGTAGAGCCTCCCTGGGTGGTTGCTGTCTACCAACCTGCTACCACAGGACAGTAGTACCTCCTTGGGTGGTTGCTGTCTACCAACCTACTACCTAAAGAATTTAACACAAAGTGGGAGTTGTCGCAGTTGCTGTTTGCTAATGACACTGCTTTTGGGAGATTCTGAAGAGAAGTTGCAGAGTTTGGTGGACGAGTTTGGAAGGGTATGTAAAAGATGGAAATTACAAGTGAACTTAGGAAAGGGCAAGGTAATGAGTATAAAAAAGTAGGTAATGAAAGACTGGACATCAGATTGAAGGGAAGGAGTATAGAGGAAATGTATGTATTCAGATATTTGGGAGTGGACTTTTTAGCAGATGAGTCTATGAATGACGAGGTGAATCAGAAATGATGAGGGGAAAAAGGTGAGTGGTGCACTCAGGAGTCTGTGGAGACCAAGAACGTTATTGATGGAATAAAAAAGTGGATTGTATGAGAGTACGGTGGTACCAACTCTTGTATGGGTGTGAAGCATGCATAGTGAATGTTGCAACAAGGAGAAGACTGGAGGCAGTGGAGATGTTGTGTGTGAGGGCAATGTGTGGTATGCAGAGAATCTATAGTTTAGAGATTAGGAGGTGTGGGGTTTCAAAAAGTAATGTCCAGAGGGCTGAGGAAGAGTTGCTGAGGTGGTTCGGACATTTAGAGAGGATGGAACAAAGTAGAATGACTTGGAGGGTGTATAAATCTATAGTGGAAGGAAGGCGGGGTAGGGGTCGGCCTAGGAAAGGCTGGAGGGAAGTGGTGAAAGATATTTTATATGTGAGGGGCTTGGACTTCCAGCAAGCGTGCGTGAGCGTGTTAGATAGGAGCGAGTAGAGACAAATGCCTTTTATGACTTGATGTGCTGTTGGAGTGTGAGCAAAGTAACAGGGAAACCGGTTAGCCTGAGTCCTGGAGGCGGGAAGTACAGTACCTGCGCTCTGAAGGAGGGGTGTTAATATGTTGCAGTTTTGTAACTGTAATGTAAGCGCGCCTCTGGCAAGACAGTGATGGAGTGAATGATGATGAAAGTGTTTCTTCTTTTTCGGGTTACACTGCCTTGGTGGGAAACGACCTATGTGTTAAAAAAAATATAATCATAACTGAACGCTAAACCCATAAGGGTCATAACTATGGTATATTCCCCTTAAGTGATAAGATTTCCCGGGCATGAGTCAGGATCGGGTATTAAGGAAGGTCTGGGTATTTGAGTTCCTTTGGACATGTCCTTCACCCTATTATTTACCAGCCACTCGCACACACGCACGCCCACGTATACACGCCCACACCCACTGCTGGGGGGACGCCTACCTGTGAGGAAGTTGAGTATTCGTGTGTGGAGACTGGGATGGACGTGAGCAGAGAGTGCGGGTGTTGGTTGTGGGTAGAGGGTGTGGGTGTGGGTGTGAGTAGAGGATGTGGGTGTTGTGGGCATGGTTAGAGGGTGTTGTGGGCATGGTTAGAGGGTGTGGGTGGCAGTTGTGGGAGTGGGCAGATGGTGTGGGTGATGGTTGTGGGTGTGGGCAGATAGTGTGGGCGGTGGTTGTGGGTGTGGACAAATAGTGTGGGTGGGGGGTGTGGGCAGATAGTTTGGGTGGTGTTTGTGGGTGTGGGCAGATAGTGTGGGTGGTGGGTGTGAGTGTTGGCAGAAAGTGTGGGCAGGAATTCAGGTCAGGGTACGAGATTATTATTATTATTATTATCATTATTATTATTATTATTATTATTATTATTATTATTATTATTATTCACGGGGAAGTGCTAATCCCGTAGGGTTGGTGCAGCGTCTGGGAACATGGGAAGTGATTATGTTCGATCCCAGGAAGGGAAGAGTAGCTACGGCTCCTGGGATCAAGAGCCCTTTATCAGCCTCAAGAATTATTTTCTATTTAACACTCAAGTTCACTTCCAGTTTACCTTCACTTTCACCTTCATTTTCACCTTCACTTTCACCTTCAGTTTACATTCTGTTTACTTTCAGTTCATCTTCAGCTTGATGGTTAGTGTCTTAATGCTGTCTGAAGGGCTCTTGAGTCAAGGAATTGGATCCACTTTTCCCATCTTCCTCGGATCGAATCTGATTGCCTCTCATTCCCTCTGTGCTGTATAACCCCTACGGGTTTAGGGCATCCCCATGATTATAATAATACAATGTACTCGCCCAGTTGTGCTTGCGGGGGTCAAGTCGTAGCTCCAGTCACACCGCCTCCCTTTCCCCAACTCCCTAGATTATTCTGACTCACTACTCTATCATACCTATTCTTGATGCTGTGTATTCAACTCATGTGTGAATCCTAGTGTTTGGTCGTCAGCTACTGACCTGGGAGGTTATGACCTCTGCTCCTCATGATATATACAAGATGGTTGTGCCCAGAGCATCTGTGTCACTGGTCAACCCTCACCAACTACACGGTTGCCAGGTTTACTTTTTACCAGAATTATACAAATACAGTTTTGTTTCTTTCCAAAGGTTGCAATGTGTGATTTACATTTTATAAAAATAAATACAAAGCCACTAACATGCCTCAGCATGTCGGGCAGAGCTCACCAAATTATGTGTTTTTTCATCCATATTATCGTACGAATTTACCGTATGCTGATAAAAACTAATTTCCATTGAAACCATGTATGTAACGATTGTCAGTTTGATAGATACATCAGTCTAAATTTTATTGAAGATATTGGTTTATCATACCAGACTTCACTCATGTTGTAGACGAACTTGGAATAATATAGTTACAAGAATAACTTTAGCATTGCTGAAACATAATTCTGAAATATTAGGTTAAGGAAGAACAAAAACTGTTGTAGTCTGTTATATACTTAATGATCATCAGTAATAATTTGATACAGGTTAGGTTAGGTAGGCCTAAGTTTTGTTAGGAAACAGGACAAGTGTTTCCTGAAGCATGTTTTAGTCAGATGATGACCCGCCGTTGGAGCTGTATATAGCTTCTGGTTATCTGTCCGAGGCCTTCCGCTAACTTACCCCTCCACCCCTTTAAAAATTATGGTCATTGTTATAACTATTTTGACACAGTAGTTTACAGTGGTTCACATAAGTAGTCATGTCTACGGAGGACTTCAACTTGACACCAGATCATTGCTCATTTATACGTTTACATATTAGTAAAAAAACCAGTAATATTAGCTATTTTCAGTTTATTCCTCATATGTGTTTTAGAAATATAAATTTTATTGCAAACTTTTTCTCATTCTGTGTTTAGGTGAAGGACAGAGAGCAAACCATTCTCATACGTAAACATTTTACTTGTTTTAAGTGACATGTATTTTTATTTTAAACATTGTTTTTGGGATTTAAATACAAAATGATGTAAATGCCGAAACATTAATATAACCTATTCAGTAATATTACTTTGGAACATGTGTGCAGTAAGTCCTACAGATGTATTTGTTGCTACTTTATGTGAAATTGTAAGCGGAAGGTCTGGTCAGATGACCAAACACTCCAGCTGTGGGTCATCATTGACTAAGACCCACGTCAGGACACACTTGTCCCGTTTCCTGACGAACCTGACCTAACCTGAGTGAAATTATGAATAGACATTCACAATTTCAGATACCAATATTCACTTTGTTTTCATGCAGTTGGATTTTATTCATAATGCCATAAATCGTATTATAAAAATAATATTTTCAGAACTGAGACCTGAAATCGTACAAACGGTGCGATAATAGATAAATGTATCGGACCAAAGGTAAAATTATCTTACATGTACGATAATTATCGTAGGATGACAATCCCTTATTGTGCGAGGTAAAGTGTATGTGTACACACACATGCACCTCAGTGCTGGTGCCGGAGGTGTTCTGTTTGTCAGGAGAGGTGTGAAATATCTCTCGAGGAGAGCCTTGACCCATTGACATTATTTAACCCGTCTTTCAGTTTGAGTAGGATCTTACATACTAATTGTCATGCGTGCATTTGTACAAGAATGAAATTTCAGTACAAAAACTATGTACAGTATTTCTTATTTTCGTTATGTTATGTTTGGTTGTGTTACATTAAGCTAGGTTAGGTTAAGTTTGGTTTGGGTAGGTTGGCGTATATTAACTAGCATTTCGTTAATAATGAAATTATAAAAGATGGATGGATTACATCTGGCAGCGCAGATTTTTCATCTCGCAGCGCAGGTTCTTACATCTAGCAGTTACATCTTATAACTGGCAGAGCAGGAGCTTGCAACTGGCAGAGCAGGGTCTTACATCTGGCAGAGCAGGCTCTTACATCTGGCAGAGCAAGATCTGATATCTGGCAACGCAAGATCTTACTTCTGGCAACGCAGGGTCTCGCATCTGGCAGAGCGAAACACGTCTGGCAAGGCGGATTTACGTCTGGCAGGGCGGATTTACGTCTGGCAGCACGGGGTATATACTAACACTTAGTTCATTAATTTTTAAGACATACGGTAACAAATGTGGAGGACGGCTTGTAGTTTAAGATATAGTGGTAGACTTATGACTCGTTGCAGTTTAGCGCATTTGAAAAAAAATAATGGATCAACACACATGCTCTTGGACAACTGGTAACTAAGACACACAACTTCTAAATATTTGATACTTAGAATGCGACATTAGCTTTCAGTTGGAAGTATTTATAATATATGTATGTATACATGTGTAATGTTGCCTGATTATAATCCTGACTTTTGCTCACTCTGTAGTTCTAAGTGTTTCATTTGCTTTGAAATCCTGACGTGTTTCACCCGCTGTATGATCCTAACTTCACGTGTTTCACCCGCTGTATGATCCTAACTTCACGTGTTTCACTCACTGTATGATCATAACTTCACGTGTTTCACTCGCTGTATGATCCTAACTTGTTGCGTTTCACTCGCTTTGTAATCCTCACTTGTGTTTCACTCACTGTATGATTGATCCTAACTTGACATGTTTCACTCGCTGTGTAATCCTAACTTGTGTTTCACTCGTTGTATGATCGTTACTTGACGTGCTTCACTAGGCGAGTGATCGTAGAGAAGCAGTTACCCTTTACTATAACTTCACCCTCCTATCATTAACTAGCTATACAAGGTTCCCTGAGAGCTTTAATCGGCTGACATAATACCATTCACAGTTAAAGTGTTGTAACAGTAGTGTGGCGCTACAGTTGTGTTATAAGAATGGCAGTAACTTTACCTGTAACCTTGAAGAACTTCCTGTTATGATGATGGTGTTCGTATTCGTCAGGAAAGAGGATCAAGTGTCTCCTGACGCGAGTCTTTTTGCCAAATGATGATGCTCCGTACTTGGTTAAGCCTCCACTGGCTTGCCCACAGCTAGATTTTACAAACCCGTTTCAAACACACTGAATCACTATTTTTTTCTGAACTCGGTGATACTTGGTGGGCGACTCCCGGAGAGTTGGGGTTGAAACACACACACACACACACACACACCCACACACTGAACATATATAATAATTTATTATTATCGAGAAGAAAGCGTTAAACTCGTATGGGTGATAGAGTGCCATGTTTTCATGATGCATTAAAAGCCATATAAGCAAGTCACTTCCTGCATAGTACTCTACCTCTCAGACCTGTTGTGACCTTTATAATGATCTCTCTCTCTCTCTCTCTCTCTCTCTCTCCTCTCTCTCTCTCTCTCTCTCTCTGAACAGTTAAAGCACTATACACTCCAGTTACATTTGTCAGAGCTGGTACAGGAACCGAGCACCAACAGCCTGGCTAGTCAGAGATCGGGCACGATAGTAGACTGGATGGAGCGTGCACCACTCCTCGCGCGGAGTGACCCACACGGGTTTATCGCCTAATACACAACATGGTGTGTGATAGATGGTGGGATGGGCGGAAGTTGGTAGCCAGAGGTCACACTCTCATAGTGGTCATAAATCCACTTTTTGTAGTTCTCTTAAGTGGAGAGCAAGACGGCTTCAAGAGCCCTATCGTACATCTTATTAAAGCTATGTATAGATCCCGCCACTATCACTTCACTCTCCAGATTGTTCAACTTCCTGACAACTCTAAGGCTGAAAAAATACTTCCTAACATCCCTATGGTTCATCTGAGTTTTCAGCTTCCAGCTGTACCCTCTGGTTCCTGTTTTTCATCTCTCAAACATTCTGTCCCTGCTCGCCTTGTCAGTGCCTCTCAATATTTTGTACGTCGTTATCATATACCCCTAGTCCTCCTGTCCTCGAGAGAGACTGACACTAGTGTCTGTGCATCTATCATCATTCTGTCTTGCAGGACAACTCCCTACACACACGTCTCACTCACGGGTATCTCATGGAGAGGCACTCTGTTCCACTCTGTGAGAATTGTCTGGTTCCAGTTTCAATTTCCCACATTCTATTTGACTGTTCTGTCTGTCGTCACCGCTCTAACACCCTTACTTTAGCTTCCCTCCTCGCTGACGGCCCCATCTTCGACTCAGACTCCCTCTTTGACTTTTTGACAGCAACTGATTTATTGCACAAACTTTGATAATCCTTCCTTTAGCACCCCTAACAGCCCTTTCTAACTCTCCTCTGTTATCCTCTTCACCCTTGCTCCTCTATGATCCTGCACTACCCCCTGCCATGCTGCGCTGTATGACCTTAGTGGGTTTAGCACTTCTTTTGATTATAATAATGTCATACAGAAGGAACCACAGTTATGGTGCATCAAACAAGCGTTCCTTGACCCATTGTGTGCCCATATAGGATGGGTATAGAAAGGTTACCAAACACAGGATATGCATGAGGGTGACTACCACCCACTGAATAGGAATGGGATGCATAATAAAACTATTGAACTAACCATTGTGTAATAAACATTACCATTGTAATAAATATGACCACTGTAATAAGCATGAGCAGTGTGGGGAAGAACAAACAGGAGATAGTGAAGGTTAGGTTGTCGGGGATTTACGGGTTTTTCTATGGCATTAAAACGACCTTCTGTAACACCTGTAACTCAGGGTCACCTCAGTCGAGGGACGGAGGCCATTAAGGAAGGAGAGAAAGAAGGAAAG